AATTTGTAGCTTATCTATTTATAATTCCCCCCTCCTTTAGACTAAAGACTGAAGAAATTACTAGAGCTCTGCTTATCATAAGACTGGAACAATATCAAATATAGTACCTACCCTATAGTTACCTCTGGGGTGCCCACACAATTTTAAATGTCCTGTCAGTCAAATGAAATTTCCCTTTCTTTTAATTAATCCTACAGTCAAGAAACCAGGCTCAAATAATAATAATAATAATAATAATAATAATAATAATATTATTATTATTATTATTATTTCTGGTGTCAATAATCTGTTTATTCTTTAATTCCATTTGAGATTCAGAAAAAGTATCCCAGAAGAAAAAAGTCAAAGGTCAGGGCTGGAGAGAAGGAACAGTAGTTAAAAGCACTGGTTGATTGTCCAGAAAACCTGGATTCAATTACAGCACCACATGGTAGCTCACAACTGTCTATAACTCCAGTTACAGGGGATTTGATGCCTTCTTCTGGCCACAGTGGAACTACATACACATATTACAAGCAAAACATCCACACACATAAAACAAAAATACAAAATATTTAAAAATAATTTTTTAAGAGTCAAAGGTCATGGATTAAGTCTAAAGACCTGGAAAATTTTTATTATTTATTTTTTTATATTTTAAAAACAGATGGTTCCATGGATCAGTGTGGTGCTCTGGAGCTCTCTCCAGGCTAGACAATCAATCAATCAAAAAAAAAAAAAAAAAATGATAGGTATTTTGCCTGCATGTATGTCTGTATACCACTTATATGCCTGGTCAGAAGCGGTCAGAAGACAATGAATCCCCTAGAATTGGAATTATAGTTGTTAGCCACCTGGGTCTTCTGGAGGAACAGGCTCTTGACCAACGCGGTCATCTCTCCAGCCCCAACATTTTACTTTTGAACCTAAATTAAAACCTGAAAGAGGCTTGATTTCAAAGGGTGCTGCAGAAATGTTGAACTAAGAAAGCATTAATTTCTTCAGGCTTTTGTTCTCCAGCAGATGATCATACTATAGATTTATCCAGCTATATCTCAAGAGAACAGGGCTAGAGCCATGGGCAAAATAATTTAAGTAACACAGCAAGAGGCTCATTTCTCTACTCACAGGAAAATAAAGCCTATAGATACACAGTTAGCCACATTAGAGACCTCCAACTGGGCTCTCAACCCCAGGACTGCAAACAGTCTATAACACATCCCTTATTGGGGAGGTCATGGTCATTACTGGATACTTGATTTTATTCCTGGCTTTTATCTAGAAGATGTTAGTAGACAAAAAGTGTTTCCCAAGATTGTCAAAAAGTCTCTTAGAAGCAAAACTGCCTAGGTTAAGAACTTATCTAAATAAACAATTACCAGCTGGGCAGTGGTGGCACCTTGCCTTTAATACCAGCACCCCAGAGGCAGAGGCAGGTAGATCTTTTTGAGTTCAAGGCCATCCTGGTCTACAGAGTGAGTTCCAGGACTACAGTGACTACACAGAGAAACCCTGGAGGGATGGGGAGATCGGGATTAAAAACAACAAAAAAAAAATTGCCATCAAAATAAGGTAAGCTAGCCAGTTGGTGGTAGTACACACCTTTAATCCCAGCACTCAGAAGGCAGAGGCAGACTGATCTCTGTAAATTTGAGGTCAACCTGGTCTACAGAGGGAGTTCCAGGACAGCTAAGACTGTTACAAAGAGAAACCTTGTCTCAAAAAACCAGCAAATAAAAATGTAAGCTACCAACTTTTTCTTCACCTTTTGACAAGAGAAAAGACACCAACTACCTGGCTTTATGAAGTAAATTTTCCTTTACAACGCTTATGTATTTGACAACTTGAAAAGTGATACCAGTAGGTGGAAGTACAACATGAAGAGAATATGAAAATATTGCCAGAGTGAAGAAAGGCTGTTACAAAATTGCCTAACTTTATTCCCTCTTGAGATATTCTCCGTAGAGGAATATGCTCATTTATTCTCCCTGAGACATAGATGGAAAGTGTTACAGTCCCATAACATGTCATGTATCTACATGGAAAAAAGATAGGTAAGCCACCCAAACCAGACAGACAAAACTGAAAGCAGGAACACAGAGCTCAAGCTCCTTGATTATACGTGGACTCCAGGTGATCGTCCCTCCAACACACTGTTCACAGTGGTGTTCAGTCCTGTCAATCAATATCCCCTTTACAACAGTTACTGTGTAATGAATGCCCTTCAAACATTTTTAACCTTATACTTACAGGCACAAAGTTCAAAACACCCATGCCTTAACTGCTATATAAAGGAAAACAATCAAGATTTTATAAAGGAAAGATCCTAGGAGACAGGAATCTTCTCCCCACACACATTTCCAAAGTGCCCCCCAAATACTTTCGATTTCTTCCCAAACTCTATGCTGTCAGCCACAGTGATCAACAAACCTCTACCTCTCAGAAATTTGTTCCAAAGGCAGTTTTACAAAGGTGAAAGGGAGGGATCTTCTGAAATCATTTCACTTGAGATAAGACAATCACCACTTTACTGTGGAAGTCAGTAGATATCTGTTTTTTCATTTATTAAAGTATCAAGAGTTTTTGATAAAAATTTAGTGAGGGTATAGACTCTTTCTGAATATAATACATTTCTTTAAAAAATGCATTTATTTGTATTTTATGTGCACTGATGTGCTGCCTGTATATATATCTGTAAGTGCCAGATTCCCTGGAACTGGAGTTATAGACAGTTATGAGCTGCCATGTGGGTGCTGGGCATTGAACCTGGATCCTCTGAAAGAGCAGCCAGTGCTCTTAACCAGTGAGCCATCTCTCTCTGTCTATTATTCCTTATTCCAGAATGCACTTTATACTGACTTCAGACCTACTGTTGATCTTACTCTGCTAGCATAAGGGATGACTATCTGGATCCAAGTACAACTTTAAGCTCACCATATGACTTTTAAAGATTTTTTTTTTTCAGTCAGGGTCTGGTGAGCAGGAGGATTCTAAGTTCAAAGCCTGGCTGAGACACTTAGTAAGAGCCTGTCACAAAAATAAATAAAATAAAAATAAAAGAAATGATGGGGATTTAAGCAGAGCACTTGCCTAGCACGTAAGATCCTAAAGGCAAGGCAATATACACAACACACACACACACACACACACACACACACACACACACAGAATGATTTTTTTTTTTTTTTTGAGATTCTAAGACATTTTCCTGTAAAGTTGTCTCATTTTTGTTTTGATTTGCTTCTCACTTATTTAGGTCCTTTCTTCCAAGTTGGAGTGTCAGTTTTATATATCATAAAAAGTAGAAAGAGAACCTTGAACTCAGATCACAATAAAGAACATTTAGACCCAGGTAACAACATACCACAGTTAAGAATGACAACTTTTCAGGGTGGTGGTGGTGCACGTCTTTAGTCCCAGCACCCAGGAGGCAGAGGCAGGAGTATCTTAGTGAGTTCAAGGCCAGCCTGGGCTACAGAGTGAGTGCCAGGATAGGCCCCAAAGCTACACAGAGAAACCATGTTTTCAAAAACAAAAACAAAAAACAAAGAATGACAACTTTTCTAGTGAAAGCATTTTATGCAATCTCTATGTTATTTTCAGAAAATGACGTATCAACATTATTCATATCTATGTCAATTCCTTATTGCAATAAGCAGAACAAAATCCCCATTCTAGAGTACTAGGAAGTCATCAATGGGTATAATGAAAGAAATAATTCAGAACAAAAAGGATCCCAAATATACTAAATAAATACAAGTCCTGCTCAGACATAAAAGTTCATTAACCAGCTGGGCGGTGATTACACACACCTTTAATCCCAACACTCGGGAGCCAGAAGCAGGAGGATCTCTGTGAGTTCCAGAACAGGCTCCAAAGTTACACAGAGAAAACCTGTCTCAAAAAAACAAAAACAACAACAACAACAAAAAATCTACCCTCTCACAAATCCTTACTTGAAGAAACATTCTACGTCTGTATGGAAATTCATCATTTACAGACATATCCAGATATATCAGAGGAAAGAAAAGAAACTGCCCACTATTAGAAGTCATTCTCCATTAACCATCCAATAGGCCAACAGCAATTGTCTCTTGGTAATAACCATTGCATGGAGAATGTGAAGGGAGATGGAAAGACTAGATTCCTTTTATTTAGTTCCCAACATTTCTAAACTTAACTCTCCTGTAATAAAAATTTGAAGTTAATAAGGCTATTTATTACCTACTGAAAACTTATGAAATTTGGGGGACAAGAACCTGCTTTATATGAGCTTTTCATTAGGCTCTGAAGGACAAAGCAAGCACTGCACTCCTGTCTCTCATCTGAACTATACAGAATTTAAAGCCAGCTCCAGCTAATAAGAAGTTCAGACCATCTTGAGACAGGCTCTGCATGTTGGCACAGTAAGGAGGCTGAAGGAGGGGCAGTGCCAGTTCAAAGCCATCCTAGGCTACACTGAGACTCTGCCTCAGAAACAAGCAAAACAAGCCGGGCTTGTGGCTGCTCCTTTGTTTAATCCAGCACTCAGGAGGCAGAGACAGGCAAATCTCTTGGAATTCCAGGCCTGTCTGCTCTTCGGAGTATGTTACAGTCCAGCCAGGACTACATGAGACCCCAAAACCAACCAAGCAAAACCCAAAACAAACAAAAATCCCAGCACTAGGAGGAAAAGGGGAAGAAAATTACTGAAAGCTCAAGGCCAAGTGGATACGCTGAGTCCTAGACCACCCTCGGTAACACAGCCAGACCTATTTTAGAAACAAAACAAAAGCAATTGCTCTAGTGGTAACAGCAGGAAAAGCTGAGACTGCAAAGATTCTCCAAGACTCTGTGAGTTCTGTACATATTGTATTCCTGGATTTATTCATCCTGATCATTAACTCCAGTTTTTGTTTTGTTTTTTTAACTGGCAGAGATGCTCAGCCTTTACCAAAATCAAAGGTCAGAGGTGAAATCACCACATGACTCAGATCCTTCTGACTAAGAATGGGGCTGAGGGTCTCTAGAGTCGGACTCACCAACTTCAGAAGGTCGGTACTGGGCATCTTCCGCTGTAGTCTTCTCAGGACTCCCCTTTTTCAACGTCTGAAAAGGGGAAACACATCTGTTTACTCGAAGTCTTGGCGTCGCCACACTGCACACTGCTAGATCAGCTGCCTAGCTAGCTCCTTGGAAGTCTCGGGATTTCACTGCCGGGCTTATCAACACTCCGGCCGAACCAGAACATCCGATTCCAGAAGAACTCAGCCAAGGAACCACGAGGGGGACACGCCCCTTCCCAGGCTGGGACACGAGACAGCTTGGTCCCCGGGCCCACAGCCCCACGACCAAGCAGCCAGACTTCGGGCTGCTCCTGCCCGCTCTGTCTCCCCGCCCAGCCGGAGACCGAGCTGGGCGCCCCGACTCTCCGCGCCACTGCTCCGCCGGGGCCTTAAAACCCCTGCCCCTTAGCCTCGCCCTTGGCTCAGCACCCCCTCACCCCCGGCCCCGTAGCCCTCAGCCTCGCTCCCCTCAGCCCAAGTCTGCGCCCCGCTATCCCTCAGCTCGGCTCACCCTCAGCCCGCCTCCTCCCCGCTCCGCTCGCCCCTGCTCCTCTGGGCTCGGGCCCCCGCCCCCTCTCCCCTTAGCTCGACGCCCACCCCCCTCAGCCTGGCCTGGCCCCCCTCAGCCCTAGCCCGTCCGGCCCGCCGCAGCGGCTCCACCTCCTCAGACCGAGGACCCGCGCCTTCTTCCCGGCAGAGGCTCAACCTCGCAGCCGCACACCTCACGCGCCTCCGCTCGGCGAGCGACTGACCTGCCCGCCGCGGGACCAGAGATCCCCCTTCCGCCGCCGCCGCAGAGATTGGAGGTGCGCCTCCGTCGACCCGCCCCTCCCGGAAATGGCCTTGGGGTACCCACCCGCCCACGGGAGCCCCGGCGTGCGCGGCCTCGCCGCTGTAGGACGCGCGCACGTCCGACACGGCGCGGAGCAGGTCCTGCACTCCGCCCTACGGCGCGTGCGCGCCGCCTGCTGGCCGGGTAGGGGATGTGTCTAGAGCCAAAGATGGCCCTGTTGGGTTTGAATTTCTCTTTCAGGCTACCCTTTGTTTATTTGCCTTATGTTGTTATTTTATGACGCAGGGTTTTACTAAGTCGCCTAGGCTGGCCTTGAGCTCTTTCTGTAGGGCAGGTAAGGCTTTGATCTAAGTATCCTCCTGCCTCAGCACAGCCTCTCAAGTAGCTAGGGTGATGGGATGATATCTCTCTACCAAGTCTTTGTTTTGAAACAAATTCTGATGTAGGCCATGCTGGCCTCAAACTGGTCATGTATCTGAGGGCTACTTTGAACTCTCACTCTTTCTGCCTCCACCTCCCAGATGTTGTGATTACAGACGTGGGACACTATGCTCAGCAGTTTCCGGGATAATTATGCTATATTTGTTTGAGGTGATGGGGTGGGGGAAGTCTCGCTGTTCTGAAAGCATCAAACTGGCCTTGAACTTGAATCAGTCCTTCTGCTCAAGCTCCCAAGTACTAAGATATAGGCATGAAAAGTTGGTTGTTTAAAAGGTTAGCTTGAAGGGTCTCGAAAGGGAGGGCTCAGTGACTTTAGTTCACAACATCCACATAAGATGGCTCCTGTGTGCCCATAATTCCAGGTCCACAGGGTCTGATATTCTCTTCTGGCCTCTGAGAGCATATGGACAACTTAAACACACACACACACACACACACACACACACACACACACTAAAAATAAAGTTACTTGAACCTGGTGTGGTGGTCCGCTCCTATAATCCCAGCATTCAAAAGGCTGAGGAATGAACACTGCTTCAGAGCAACGATCCCACTCCTCCACCTCACCCCAACCCCCACATACTGGACACAGCTGGTCATGGACCTGCAGACAAGCTGGATATAAGCAACCACCTGACCTGGGTCTGTGTAGTAAGGGCTTTGGAATTTTCCTGAGTGTCTTAGTTAGGGTCACTATTGCTCTGATGAGACATCATGACCAAACCAACTTGGGGAGGAAAGGGTTTATTTGGCTCACCCTTCCATAGCACTGTTCATCATCAAAGGAAGTCAGAACAGGATCACAAGCAGGGCAGGAACCTGGAGGCAGGAGCTGATGGAGGCCATGAAGGAGTGCTGCTTACTGGCTTATTCAGTCCACTTATAAAACCAGAGATGACACCACCCACCTTGGGCTGGGCCCTCCCCCCATTGATCACTAATCGGGGAAAATGCCTATAGCCCAGATCTGACCTCCTAGACTACTAGAGTATTTTCTTTCTCTCTCTCTTTCTGTCTCTCTCTCTCTTTGCCTCTCTCTCTCTCTCTGTCTCTCTCTCTCTCTTTGAGACAGGGTTTCTCTGTGTATCCCTAGATATCCTAGAACTCTCTCTGTAGACCGTTCTGATCTTAAGATCCACCTGCCTCTTCCTGAGTGCTGGAATTAAAGGCATACACCACCACCATATGCATAAATGGTGATACTTAAATGAGGGTGTCATTAGCAGTACCATCCTTATCTTCATCTGGGGTGTCTAGGATGGAACACTGCTTCCCCTGCACCCCCGTGGAAGCACCCCTCAGCCTCCCCCTCATAGCAGTTAAGACCCTGAAGAAGTCTGGTAGGCTGTCTGGGTCCTTCCTCACCTTTACACTACCAAAAGTTCCAGGCATCTCTCTCTGCTACCCAGATCCCCTGGGTCAACCCCTCATGCCCACATACCCCTGCTGCTCTTACTACAGGCCCAGTGCTGTGAGGTTGAATGGTGTTCTGGCACCCCTTCCGATGCCTATTCTTCAAGACTTATATCAGGTCTGCCCTGCCCACTCCCCATCTCCTGTTTTGTTCTGTTTTTTAACGTCTTCAGGTCAGAGGTACTACCCCCAGCCCTCTCCTTAGCTGCCATCTACATATGTAGAGTCAGTTAATATTGGGAATATCCTCTCTGTGTGTATACATGCGTGTGACTGTGCATGTGTGCGTGCAGAGGCCTCAGGATGATGTGTGGACAATCAAGACCCCATGACCCACCTATTTGAGCCCCCTATTGCCACCCCAACATTGATGAGCATGGCTATGCCAGGTTTTTTGCATGGTGCTGGGAATTTTAACTGAGGTCCTCATGCTTGCACCTGCTAAGAAATCTCCCTAGCCCCTCACTCTTAGAATCTTCCAGGTGACAGGAGGGCAACGTCTGATTCCCGCACACATCTGATTCTTCATAGAAATACAAACCAATTCAACCATCTTGACTGATCTTTCCTTTCAGCAAGGACTATGCTAAGCAACTCTGTATACAAGCTCGTCTTCCGTCCTGGCTTGTCATGATCCGTTGATTCTCAACCCCTCCTTTGTGACTGACAAAAGCACAAAGAGACCAGAAAAGATAACATCTTCCAAAGACACATGAGGGGAAGTGGCGTGTGGCTGCAAAACTGAGGCTTCAGATTCAAATGAACCTGGGGGAGACTGATTGACTATTGGTGTTTATTAATTAGAGACAAAGAGTCAGAGGGGCGTTCAGCTATTTGTCTGATAGGCTCCATAGAGCACACACCATAACAATGCTGGGGCTGCGGAGGGTGCAACCCCTGGCAGTTTACAGCAGAGTGGAGACTATAACACAGTCTAGGCTTGCAAGCTTGCACCTGCACAGTCCCTGTCGAGCCCTGATGTGGCTTCTCCCCCCCCCCCCGCCCTGGGGGGAGGGGGGAGGGTAACTGAAGTTTTGGAGCCTTCCTCCCACCCACAGTCCTTCAATCTGTGGAAGACATCAGGAGGCTGGTGAGGCAGAAGTAGGGCTGCCTAAAGCCACCTGAAGCAAATTGTCATTTCCCAAGAACAGCTTTGGCATCATCTGGGAACTTGTTAGAAACTATAGGTTTTAGAACCCCCATCCAGAGCTGAATCAGTACCTACACTTTAGCAAGCTCCCCAGATGCTGAGAAAAAACAAACAAAACAACAACAACAAAAATAACCATCATCCTCCCTATCCCTCCCTGTTTGCAGAGAAAACTGGTGTTCTTTACTATGACACACTTGTTTGCAATTATTTATGGAGTTTAATGAAGAAACACCATGTGTGAGTGAAGGAAGAACTAAGGTCAGTCCCCAAACTGTCCCTGATACCCTGGGTACCTCCCTAGATAACAGGAGACTGAGAGGGACTAAATGCAGCTGGGAACCAGTGAGGAGCTGAATGGCTTCCTGATGCAGAGTTTGGGGAAGGAAGGAAAGCACTCTAGAATCTTCAGAGTAGGCTGGAAGTTTCTCATTGCAGTGCCTGTACCTACCAATTGGGAAAGGCACTTACACCAGCACACCTGGTTCTGCTTAAAACTACAACCACCCAGGGCCTCCTCTATCTACAGGCACACTACATCCTCTCCCACACACTTTTCCTTCCTTCCTTCCTTTCTTCCTTCCTTCCTTCCTTCTTTTTTTGTTTTTTTTGAGACAGGGTCTCTGTGTAGCTCTGGTTGTCCTGGAACCTGCTCTATAGACCAGGTTCTATGGGTCACAGAGATTCACCTACCTCTGCATCCTGACCACTGGGATTAAAGGTGTGCACCATCACTGGCCAGTACACTTTTTTCTTCTTGATAGGGTCTCACTGTGTAGCTCTGGAAAATCTCTAACTTGCTAGTAACCAGACTGGCCTTGAACTCACCTCCCAAGTGCTGGGATTAATGGTGAACACCAGCACCCTGGGCCCTGACTTCTATTCCTGAGACTCCTTGTTCAGCTGGGGAGCTTTTTGGATGTGTGTTTGTGTGTGTATATGTGTATGTGTACGTGTGTATATATGTGTGTATGTATATGTGTGTATATGTATGTGTGTATGTATATATGTGTGCATGTATTTGTGTATGCATGTGTGTGTGTGTGTGTTGTGTTGTATTTACAGAGCTGTAAGGAGATCTGAGATTTGTGGCTTCTGAGACCCTAGTGAAAAGGAATCTGGGAAAGTAAAAATAACCTGACACTAGGCAGATGAACAGGAGAAAAGTCACATGGGGCTTCCAAATATGAGGCCTGAAGAAATCAAGAAAGTAACCCACTGAAGCCAGCAAAGAGCTCATAAACAGCTTGGCATGCTGGAATAAGCCTTTAATACCAACACTATGCAGGCAGAGGCAAGCAGATCTCTGTGAGTTTAAAGCCAGCCTGGTGTACAGAGCGAGTTCCAGGACAGCCATGACTAAGTAGAGAAATCATCTCAAAAGTTCATAAGTCCACCACACCCAGACAGGGGTCAGAAGTAGGCATACAGCTCCAACAGCAGGCTGGATTCATTACAACCTTTGGAGCCACCAACAGCCAGTGGCAAAGCAGATGGACATTGCTGGGGGGGTGGGAGGGGTTGTCTATAGAACCAAGCAAGTACCTAGTCTTGCCATGTGACAAGAAGCAGAGAGAGGTATATTCCCATGGCTTGAGTGGCCCCTGATCTCCCTAATGTCATGCCTTAGGTACCAATCCCCAAAGTCACTGTAACCAAGCCATTACAAAACTGAGACCAATTTTCCAAGGAAATCCCAACCTTCCCAAAGATACCTACTGTGAACAAAACATCAAAAACAGTGACTTTATCAAAAGCTAAACAAATAGAAATTTCCTTTGGCAGAAGGAAGCCAGTGAGACCTACAACAAAACAACTTTGAAGACAATGAGCTGCACTCAGACATACCCTGAGGTTGTCAGCTACCCCTTCCCCCATCCCACCCCCAATACAGAGGTTTTTAAAACTTTCCAAATATTAAAATAATTTGAACAACAATAAAAGACACCCAGGTTAAACTGCATGTCACAGCCTG